GCCCGGGACCTTACTTGTTCCGCCATATATCCTAAAGGGGATCATCACATTGGAATGCAAGGGCATGAAGCAGTAACTTGGAGATGTATGAGGAAACCAAGACTCCAGGAGAGGTATTAGCATGGACAGACACATCCTACCACAGGGATGCTATACCTGGTCTTTGCATCCGGCTGCTGGCATGGAACTTCAGAAATTGTTGGAATGTCTGTGTGATTGAAATGTTTTTGTTAGAAGCCAAAAATGCTGCGCCCAGGGGGCACCACAGAGAATGATACATCAACCTAAGACCATGCACAAAGAGGACTTAGATCGCCTGCCCAGATGTAGCCCATAGATAGCTCAGTCTCCATGTGGCCCCCTGGTAAGGGGAGAAGAGACAGTCTCCACATGAACTTGGTTGTCTGCTCCTTGATCACTTCTCCCTGGTGGGGCCACCTAGCCAGCCCACAGAGGAAGAGGATTCAGATGGTCCTAATGGGACCTCATAGGCTAGGGTCAGACAGTAGGGGAGGAGGACTTCCCCTATCAGCAGACTAGGGGAGAAGGATAGGGGAGGAAGAGGGAGAGAGAGAGGGTGAAACCGGGAGGAGACAAGGGAGGGGGCTACAACTTGGATACAAAGTGAATAAATTATAAAAAAGATAACAATAATAATAAAAATGTTTTTGTTAGGCCAATGAAACAACCCATTGTGGGTCACCATATGCCTTCATGCTGGTCACCATGTGATTATTGAAACTCTGGGCACGGCCAGCCTGAGAGGAAGGAGGCTGGAGACTGACTTAATCAGTTTTGCCGTTGTCATGCAAACCTCTCTTTACATGAGGACACAACATCTCTGGACACAAAGGCTCCAGAGGGCACCTTGGTGGCAAATGCATTCTTGTGGTGGGACAGTGGTAGGACCAGATTCGCCAAGCAGAGGACATGGTCGCTATGTGTTCATCCCATCAACTTGCCCCTCATGTTTCTTCATTTAGCTACTTCTGCTCTGTATGTAGTCTTTATAATCGAAGTAAAATTGAGCATATAGTCCTTTCACCAAATTCTTCAAAGAATTGTTTTAATGAATTAACTAAACCGAGGGGGCCATGGGAACTCCTGAATTCAGAGCTCATTAGTAGGGAGTATGGATGGTCCTACAGATGTGTGATGGTTATCCTTCGCCAACCATCCTGCTCTACCTCTGAATAGTTGGTGTCAGAATTCAATCTCAGAATAGCCACTCATGAAGCAGATTGTTTGAAGGCACAGCTTAGCAACCTAGGATCCTGTTATGCACACGGAGCTGTGTATACAGAAAGCCACTGGTTCTTTTGCCTTAGTCTTTCCTTAGTAACTCCCTAACAGCCCCCCTTTATTGTCAAATACATCTTGGTGTACATCCTAGCACTAGAGCTAGCAAGCTTATCAAGCCTGAACTACTTTTGGGTACATGTTCAGTAAGTCAAATGGTCTCTTCTGAGCGAACTTGTAGGGAAAATCTTCTATTTGCTGTTTTATGCATGATTGGATATACGTATGGTTAAAATTAGATACATCATGGAAAGGGACATGCACAGTAAACAAAGGCTTACATAAGTCATGCTTATCAATCAAAACAGAAAATCATCCATATCTTGTCCCTAGCAACCAACTCCCCATCCTTTTGGACCCTCCAAAGAAAGTGGTTGAGAAGAACCCTGGGGCTTTTGGGCAATCTCACCAGAACCTACTGCTCCCTTGTAGCATACCCACACTGTTATTTTGTTTCCAGATGAATTTCTTGCCTCTTTGCTACTTGTGTATGCCATTTCAATTCCTTGAACAAGATGGCCACCTGCCAGGTTGTGTGATTTCACAGTGGATGATGGGCAGGGGAAGAGAGACGAACATTAAGACACGCCAACAAAACCTGCAATAAAAGCAAACTGTGCAAAGAAATCAGAGAACTGTGCAGTTGTGCGACTTTGGTGCTAGCTTGTGCTCAGGGAATTTTGTGAGGCGGGTTTTCTGGAAGGAAATAGACTATGAACAGCTAGGGTCCTCTACTGATGCCAATCAAGCCCTTGGCTATCCTCAAAGCAGATGCTTTTGTTCAAAGGGCAGCTGAGAAGATAGGTTCTGACCCAATGCAGAGGCAAGAACATGAAATAGTCCTCCGCAGACAGTGGGGTAGGAAGGTGAGTTCTTGGCCACTCAATTACAGACCAGGTGGGAGAAGGCTTTTGTGAGCCTGGTGAGTAAAATTATATCTGGGGTCCAAAATTAAATCTGAGCTGAGGAGGTGGGTGGCTCAGCAGCTAAGAGGACCTAAATTTGCTTAAGTTCTCTTACAGAGGACCTAAGTTTGGTTTTCAGCTACCATCCATGTTCAGTGACTCACAACAACCTATAATTCCAATCTGATGTCGTCTTCCGGCCTCAGAAGGCACCAAACTCACATGCATGTGCACACAGACAAGCATACCTGAAGACCGATGATTAAAAACAAAAATGCATTAAAAAAAATCTTGGTGGTCCAGACAGCAACGGCTGGTAACACACGTTCTAGAAATGGAGCACACTGTGTTTTGTTTTGTAATAAATTTCTCACATTACTGAAGAGATAGATGTGTAACATTGATTATAAATATAAGTTAACTGGCCCCTAATGTATGAAATGCTGACTGCTGCAAATGAAAGCTCATTATTACCCAAACGTTTTGCCTCCAGAAGTCTCCAGAAGAGACCTGACTGTAGAGTGGGCTCTACAGTAGCTGTGAGCAGCTCTTCTCCTTGGCATCTGAAAACTGGAAGGAAAGGTGTTTGCCAAGAAATAGCTTCAAGAAAAGCAGCCACAGATTCCCCTGGGTTCCAGACCATAAAGCTGGTCTAGTTGGCGCTAGCCTTATGCTTTCAAGGCGTACCTGCTTCTAAGCTAGAGCAGCTGCGAGGGAATGCCAGAAAAAATGGAAGGTCAAAGAAGTAATTTGCTTAGTGCCATTTATGTTCCAATGGCTGGACAGCCATTCTTTGCATCATTACCTCAGGGGTGGTGGTACAACCAGGCACTGGGAAGTGGAAGGGTCAACCACTGACATTATTTAGAGACCTGGTCGCCTGAGACAATAGATCCAGAGATGCAGAATATGTATGACCTGCATTATCTCACATGCTTTGCTCTCTCCGCAACTAAACCAGTTAGCATTGGAAAGGGGGAAACACAAATTTGTTATGTAACTTGACCCATAAGTCTCTGATTTTTTAATGCTTTCTTTAAAATAAAGTGAGCACACACACAACTTTCAATGTCGTATGGCCTAACAATACAATTGAAAGAGAACTGTCTACTCTTTAAAGACAGTTTCAGTTATCAAGACATGCTCTCTAGAGGTGCATGTTGTTGCAGGAAGGGTTGTGGGTAAATCAAAGCCTGTCTAACTCAAATACTTCTTATCCATCTGCCTACCTACTCTAAATATCTGTGGCAGGGAGTCTGGGCAAAATATAGCAGCTTAGTTAACAAATTAAGAACATCATCCATAACTCTACAGCTTAGACTTTAACTTTTGTCTTTTTGTTGTTATATTTTTCTAAATGGGAATAGGGGAACTATTTCCTTCAGTTGTTCAACGTTCCACCAGTGGTTCATGTTCTATGTAGTGGGAACTGATCTGCCTTCCTTTTTTTGAGAAGATTCCATGTTGCTGTAAAAAAAAGGTGTATTAAAACCAAGGAATGAAAAAAAATAAGATACGGAGGATGGTAGTGGCACATACTTCTAATCCCAGCACTCAGGAGGCAGAGGCAGGCAGATTTTTGAGTTGGAGGCCAGTTTGATCTATACAGTAAGTTCCAGGGCAGCCAGGGCTACACAGAGAAACCGTGTCTCAAAAAACCATCACCACCACCACCACCAAAAACAACATCAAACCCACAAGATAATAGTGTTTTAAAAAACATTTTTAATGAAGAAATAATTCCATTCCAAAATATAGACACACAATTAAATAGTTTAATCACTTCAAAATATAACATGTCCCCAGGAGGTTCCAACACACACACACACACACACTCACACACACAACACACACACGCACGCACGCACACACACGCACACACACGCACAAAACAATACTTAACAACAATATCAACAAAACGAAACAACATACTACAGTAGAGTTGTTACAATACCAATGAATATTGTGAACTCTTCAGTGTTTCAGAATTGGTTGTTTCAAATGGGGTCAAATTACAGTAGTTACAATTTAAAATGTCTTATGTTAATTAGCCTCAAGATGTAATGAATGCTTTTTTTTTTTTCTTTCTTTTTCTTTTTGGTTCAAAGTAAAAATGCCCTGCCTTCTGAGGACACAGGAGTTCTTTGCTTGTGTGGAATCGAACCAAAGTGAATGCAGCAACCGAAGGTTGCCATATTTACAAGATCTATCTACACTTAACAGCCAAGAACTAATAACAGTGGACGAAGATGGTCAAAATAAGAGCAGACATCAGTGCTAAATTATATTGCAACAGTTTGGCTCATGCATATAAGAAAATACATAGTATATATCACACAAAGGCCACAATCTTAATGCAATTCAGTTCACATTACTACTTACAAATAAACCTTCCCTGCCTTATATATTATCCAATAATCCATCTTCCTAATCTCCAACACGTCTCCCACTAACCAACCAAACTTACCCCAACTTCCATCCTGACAAACCACAACCAGTTCCTGAATCCTATACAGTAGATTTCACCACCTCCTTGACCGCAGGGCTGCGGGGGGAGGCGTGGCTGCGTTAGACCAATGCTCATTGCTCCTTCATAGGCCATCAGCTCTGATGGACACAGATGGGCAAATCATTGTGGAATAAGAGAGAACAACCCCTGTGAGACACCGTTGACTAGAACGGACAGGACAGACGAAACCTGCTGGGTTTGCATTTTAGAACAGGCCCCAAAAGTAAATTTGGAGAGCCAAGGAAAGAAATCCACCAACAATCACAAAACCCCAAAACAACACACACCATTTTGTCTCGGTTACAGGACAGGGGTGCTTGAGTCTGGTCTCAGTGCTGACGTGGAGCTAAGAGAAAGAAAAGGTGGCTGGTTAGTGAGGAACTGCTCACTGGTCCTGGTTTCCAGAGAGTTCCTGGAATGGCTTTGTACGATGGAGTCAATACCATGGGGCGGGGGAGCTGCTTGGCAATGGAGGCTGTGACAAGAGGGAAGGTTTGCAGTAGAATGCTTTCAACCTTAGACACACATTTTGATGTAGAAAAGCAAAGAGACGACATGGGTCAGTTCAGTCCAGCCAGCGGCTGAGGGCCACCCGCAGGTTCTGAGTTCTGATGTGAGTACTATGTGGCTCAGATTCGAGCTGAGACAAATGCAGGTATCTGGGATGTAGTGGTTTTCAGTACTGAGTATGAGGCACCAATGGCCACCTGCACCATCTGGAGAGGTGTGATTTCACAGAGGATGATGGGCAGGGGAAGAGAGATGAATGTTAAGACACACCAACGAAACCCGCAATAAAATCCACCTGTGCAAAGAAATCAGAGAACTGTGCAGTTGTGCGACTTTGGTGCTAGCCTGTGCTCAGGGAATTTTGTGAGGCGGGTTTTCTGGAAGGAAACTCGACTAAGAACACCCAGGGTCTTCTACTGATGCCAATCAAGCCCTTGGCTATCCTCAAGGCAAATGCTTTTGTTTAAAGGGCAGCCGAGGAGACAGGATCTGACGCAATGCAGGAATGTGGAAGAGCCCTCTGCAGACAGTGGGGTTCTTAGTCACCAGGTGTGTGGGTGGGAGAAGGCGTTTGTGAGCCTGGTGAGCGAAATTAAGTCTGAAGTCCACTTAGAATGTTTCTTACTTATTCTGACCCCCCCCCAAGACAAAATATTCCAGGCTAGCTTCAAATTCACTATGTAGCTGAGGATAACCTCGAACTCCCGATAGTCCTGCCTCCATCTCCTGAGTGCTGGGATCACAGGCATGCGTCACCATGCCGTGTTTCTACAGCTCTGGAAGCCTGCATCCAGAGCTTTGTGTATGCTAGCCAAGCACTTGGCCAACCGAGTTACACCGTAGCCTGGATAAGGCGTTTTTCACTCTTCAGTGTCCAACTCTATCCTAGAACAATGATTTCCACCTTATAGCATGGGGCAGAACGGTCAGGAGGGCCAATTAAAACATGGATCACTAGGTCCAGACCCCAGAGTTTTGGATTCAGTGGGTTTGGGTTGGAGCCGAGGAATCTGCATTTCTAAGACTTTTGGGAGACCCTAAGATCGCTAGTCTGAGGGACACATTCTGAGAATCATTGTTCTGCAAAGATGTTCCTTTCTTTCTTTTATAGGGGAAAAAATACCCCAGGAATTCTGGAGAGGCTTCCAGTTTAAGACAGCCAGCAGGTGCCTGGTCTTTTTTTCCCCCCCTTAGACATCAGAATTTGAAACAACCAATCACTTTTCCATTTTCCCCAGAATCGCTAAGGAGGACCATCCACAGGCTTTTTTTTTTTTTTTTATCGCCTTGTCTTTGACAGTCTTTTCACACACCAGCTTTCAACTGAGTGTGAAATCCCAAAAATACCACATGGAAGAGCCTGTCTCCTTTCACAGGACCACACAACACGCATGCAGAACAAGTGGCCAGGTAAGGCAATCAACATTCAGAAAGGAAAGGGGAGCAAGCGCACTTTAAGCCCATACATTTAAAGCTGAAGGCCTCGGAACTACCCGATGAGGGAACTTGCCAATGAGCAGTGCTGCGTAGGACATGCTTCCTAAGGATACAATGTGGAGAGCAAGACCTGGAGAAGTGCAGGGAACTGTAGTCCGTTGGGGGATCTTATGGCACCTGTGGTTTATAAACAGCTTTAGTAACGAGTATTCCAAAACATAGTTCACAGTTTTTAAGAAGATCTGTGCTGATTTTAAAAACTAGATTCTATATCTTTTGAATGTTGTCTCTCTCTCTCTCTCTCTCTTTTTGAATATGATATCTATTTGGAAAAAGTATTTACACTAAATTCTATGGCTGATTCATTAGAGTATTTTGAAGGAAAACAACCCAAGTTGGAAATAAGCCCCCAAGAGCTCATTTTTTCCTGTTGGAAGTTTTAAGTCATTTCTCAGAGGGACTTGGGGACACGGGCAGGCCAAGGACCCTTCTTGGTGCCTGGGTTCCGAGTTTGGACACTCAGAGACCAAATCCTATTGCAGGTTGTTGCCCCTACCCCACAATTGCTGTGGGAGAAAATGTATAGTATATAATAAAACCGTCTTTGCTAAAATCTCAAAGAATCCGGAAATGAAAATTCTAGCTACAAACAGTATTAATATTGTCATTGTAAACTGAATGGGTTCAATATCGTGTGCAAAGGTTTAAAATGCTCGTTAACACTACTGTCCCGTGTAACAGCAGCAGGCTCTCAGCCTGTGGATGTTTGCCTGGAACCAGGGATGAGCCATGTTATAGAAGATGGAGTTGATAAATGATCTAGGAACGGAAGTCTCGGGCCCACCCCCCCTTCTAAAACACACACCTAGGAACTACAAGTTTTAGAACAGAAAGCTAGCTGCACTACAGGCATCGGAACACATCTTTAGGGGAAGGGGTTGTTGGAGCTGCTGGGTGAGGTGGCTCCTCTCTCCGAGCGAGGATGAGGCTGCTTCCGGGCTGTTGTCTTCCTCCTCTTTGTAGGTGCAGCTCTCTCCATCACCGGGTACCATGTTACTTTCATCATCTGTCTGACTATAGCTTGCCTGGGAATAAGGAGTGTGTATTTCTTTTAACAGGTGAAGACTGTTTCTAAATTAGGGATAAGTAGCTTAGATCCCCCCACCCTGCCCCTTAACACACACACACACACACACACACACACACACACACACACACACACA